GTCATAAAAAATTCGTTAATTAACATTATGACTAACTGTATTTACGTCATACAATGCCGAGAGATACAAAGCACATCTTTCGAGAATGAGAGAGGGTCCAATGTGGTGACACTGCACTCGGCGGAGGCTGTTGCCGGTTCTCGAAAATGTGAGAATGCCTCTTCTCGGGAGTTCGTTCAAACGAGTCGCACAGGGATTCTCCCATGACTGTATTCCCCCTTCATATATTTCGGCTTTAGCTCTTCGTTGTTTCAAGTATCGGCTTCAAGTCACACACTAATGAAGTGTTTGCTGTACCTGAAACTTCTTAATGTCACTTGCCAAATACACTCACACGGTTGTACTTAAAAAAATTTTTTTTTGCACATGACACTGTACAAATGGAAAGGATTCGTGTTTTTAAAATAAATAATAAGTTTGCAAATTACCGTAAGTTAAAATATTATTTTGGAAGGGAAGCTTTTATTTTATGATTATTTAACAGAAAGTTTGGTCCGCTCAAAGCTGTAAAAAGAATATCTCGGTTTTTAAAAACAATTCAAAATCTTGCGGTTGGAGCTGTTAGATAAAAATTCTGTTCTTATCATTATTCGACGCTCATAAAAAATTATTACAGTGCCATGTCTCTTATACGAATTTTTCCGCCACCCTTCAAAAACTTTATTTGGTTTTCCAAAAATCAAACGACCAAACTAAAAAAACTTCTCTCCTGTTTTTCGTTTTATTGAAGCAGCTCTCGCGAATCGTTGTAGTATACTTCCTTGAGTTTCTGCGGCGCGCATGGAAAACTCCAGGCAAAGAGTTGTAGTAGTAGTAGTACGACTCAGCGTTGCGTGCGCGAGAGGATGGTTGCACGTAATTTATACCGAAGTTGGCATGGAACTTCGATGACTTTCTAAGATATCGCTGATTCTCGATGTAGCAGATCTTATACCACCATGTGTGTTTCTCTCTTCATCCTAATGTAAATTAAAAATTCGCTTTCTACGAAATAAATGAGATGCAACGGTTTATGGTTATGTGTAGTTACGTTCAGAATTGTTGGTGTACGTTTTTTTGAATGAATTGGATATTTTGGTTATTTATAGATATGACCGCGTGTATATTATTATCGTTTATTATGCTGCAAACAAAATGCACAAATAATCAACTGAATAATAACCTGCAACTTGGAAACATAATGATGCACAGTTCTAAATGCACATTACGAAAACAAAATCGACTTTTCGTCTGGGTACTTCTTTATTGATTTGAAAAACTTATTTAACAGGTTTTCCCATTACAATTTACAAAAGCTGTGTATGGAAAAAATTGTTCGAGAGAAATAAGACAGCACAAAGTTAAGTATGTTAATTAATTGATACAACCCCCATAATTTACCAAAGACTCGTGTGCGTAAGTTCGTTCTTGCGCAAGAGGGAGCTCGGCATAATACTCGAATAAACTATGCCGCGGATGTCACGAAACGCACGTGTAAACGAGCGCAAAACGTCACGTGTAATAGGGATGCGAGAATCGCAATTGGGATAGAGATAAAAAAAGAGAATAAATAAAAAGAGCAATGATAAAGTTACTCAGGCTCTGCCCTTGTGGCGATTATCGTACAACATCATCAAACAACTGACCACAGCCTCCGGCATTCCGTTGCTGCTGCACGAAAACAAGATCGTGAAGAGCTACCGGGGCGGTGGCGAAGAAACAATTTTGTCGCGTCTCATCAGATATAGAAGCAAACGACGTGAGCTACATACATCTCCATCTCTTTCCGGGAAGCCCCTCCTTTTCTTATCGCCATGATCCCTCCGAGACAATTTGCATGGGACACCTACTAGCACCCTACTCACATATAAGCGCCGTTTTGTGCTCTCTCACTCTCTCTCACTCACTCACTCACTCACTCTCACTCTCTCACTCTCTCACTCTCTCACTCTCTCACTCTCTTTACCGCCACCGGAGGCTTTATGACCCGAGCAACTCTATAGCATACAGCTTTCGCGCGAATTAACCGACCGGTGGCTTATTTCCACGGATTCAATGATGTGAGATTTTGGGAGAGCTGTGATGTTAATTTTAAAAACGATGAAGTTTCGGAAGTTCATTTTGTTCTTTTTCCGATTACCTGTTAAAGACAAAAGCTTTATTAATAGAACAGCCATAGTTATAAAATATTACAGACAGGTAATTTTTGTATCAATGAAAATGAAAGTGACCAGCTTAAAAATATTTGCTATATTGAAATAAATATATGTTTATGAAGATATTTAAGTTAACAGAGTTATTGTGTACATACGATTGTAAATGTTTTATACGCCGTATTCATTAACATTATTTATACACCGTATTATTTTTTATGTAGCTTGAAAATTATTCTAATAAGTGTAGCGATTTGAATCTATTTTCATCTTAAAACACTTGGAATGAACTTTCCTTTTCTTTGTATGAATCCCAAAATCTCAATTATGACTTCCATATTTATTGAAGTAATTTAACACCACGCATGATTCTAAATATCAGGGTGAATGAAAAATATATTTGAGAGCTAATTTTGATGGTCTGGATGTATGTTCGAGTTTCATATCAGATAAAAATGTTCACCTGTATTTCAATTTGTCAAAAAACTACACTTATGAAAATTATTTAGGTTAATATTCCATTTAAAAATTACTCTGAGTATGTTGAAATTGTGAAAGTCAGTAAAATTTATTATAAGTTTATGTAAATTTTAAAAACACCTCAATTTTTTAAGTAATCAATCTTAAAAGTTTAGAAAACCATAAAATTTCAAAAAAATTTCACATGGTCGATAAATCGAACGTGCTTTAGCATTTAAGAGTTTGATAAATATATTATAAGAGCAATCGATCTGTCTTTTAAATGAGTAATCCAACCTGTGTATCTGTGGATGAAAAAATGTATAAATGTCGATTACAAATAAAAGCATTCTTAACTGTTATTGCAATGTGAATTTGAAAATAAAGTTTCTTGAAAAAAGGTACTTCCGGCGAGCATCGAAAACAACGTCTACACTAAAATCATATAAATCTCCCTCCAGCTCAATCGCTGCACGCATTTCCCTGTAACAATGAAAATAACAATAAATAACGCGATAGAAGTTTTAACATTGCGTTTGGAGCTTGTAATGCTCGTCGCAAAGCTTTATGTCCAGCGATATATCGGAAGGCCATCTGATTGTCTGGACGGCGTTTGTACAATGGTCGCACACGCGCGACTTTTTTGTCCCTTCCTATCCCCGTCAAAAAGAAACTCGCGGCGCGGCAATTGAATAGTCAGTCGTCAGCGTTGTGCGTATACGTCTTCGTCTTCTTTTTTTGTCTCTTTCGAGTCAAGAGATATCTCGAGCGCTATCCGTCATGCATTGTTATACCCGCGGTGCGGACTCGGTTTGCTGTGCCAGACGCACGCCACGTCCTTCAGGGACAGATGGACGAGATAAAGGGTGCGCGAGAGGCACCGCCCGAAATCGAAGGAGAACGGGATTTTCGCCAATCGATGCTTTGCTTACTTTGTTTCTACAAGTAGAAGGAGCAATCGAATTCAAATGGCTTTCGTTACTATGGGTCCAAAAGCATCTTTTGCGAAAGGTATCATACGGTATTCCTCAAAAAAAAGAGGTCCCAAGAAATTTCTCATGGCCAAAACTTTCAATGTAAAATCGAACATTGCCCCCAAAGCTTCTGCTTTCCTATGCAATGAGAAGGTGGCTCACACTCGACACGTAAAACAATGCCATCATATCCCTAAAGCATAAAACACGGTTACTATCGGTTGCACATGAACTCTTGTGTATGGTTGCCGGTAAAACGAAACTTTTTATCTGGCTGAGGCCCTAGAAAAGTACGGACAGAGAGAAAGAATACTTGAAGAATACGGCGTCATCAAAAAAGCTTCTGGTGACCTTTACATCCGCGGTTTTGGGCTTGGCTCCTCCCTGACTTTATGCCTCTGCTTCACAAATCTCCTTTGAATAGCTCTCGCTGCACACACTCTCTCCTCGCGAGAGAAGTACACGCGAGTGGATATGAGACGCGCGGCGCCGCCGCCGCCACCTGCCCCTTCCCCACCTCGCGTCACATAACTTTTCGCCCTCCTCTCTTTTCTTTTCGCTCCTTTTCTTTGCTTTCCATCTCCCCGCGATATCTGCGGTATCTTACTTATTTTTGTTTATACCCTGTTTGTCTCCGACGAAAAAGAGATCCCTTTGTTGGGAGAATGCAAGACAACATTCTTCACGCACTTATAAAGGATATATTGTCGATGATCATGGTGGCTGCGGACAATGGTTTAACGAGGCCCGCCGAGAAGCTCGATTGTTTAGATGATGGACACTGACAAACTTATGGGAATAGTTCCAAGTAATTGAAAAATTCTCTCTCAAGAAAATACATCGAACGTTAGTATTTTTGTTTTACGCAAATGCAGATACAGATTTTGGTTTCAACATGTCCTTTCGAAGATCTAATTTTTTTTTTCCTGTCTTGTTCAAAGAAATCGAGCGACGAAAGGTAATCATTATTCAAAGACAGGATGCGCACACCTATGCGAGACGAATAACTAAACTTTCTTTAGATGTTTGAGGGCGTGAAAATTGCGGAAGCTTCACAAAAGTAGGACGGCTGCCACGCGCTTACCCATTTTTTAATGCGAGAAAATCCGATAGCCTATTATTATGAACCTTTTGCTTGCAACAAGGGTGGGCGTGTTTTCAGCTGACCCATGTCGGGCTGCGGCTGTGATATATTTAAGACGCGTGCAGCTTGAGCTACATATGCCCTGATATTAGAAATTTTTAAATGGACTTCTTGAAACGATGCTACGTTGATATAATAAATATTATTTTTTACTTTCTTCTATTGAAAAATTTCTAATTTCGCGCGTTGTTCTTAGATCAGTGTCGCCGCCACTCTCTTGACGCGTGCTAGTCCAGTCGCTTGGTGCATACAAGCCTTACGATCATACTGTAGATTTCGCGCAAGCTTCAACTATACACTTACTAAAATTGTGAAAATTGGAACTATACAGAAAAGATTTGCATGGCCTGTATGTAAGAAGGACACGCACAATCGTGAAGCATTCCACATTTTTTTTCTGATTTTATTCACGAGTAAAATTTTCATTTATACTTTCACTGGACTTGGTGATACTGCAAGTAATCTACATACTTTATGATGTCATCTTTTTTTTTGCCTTGTTTTTTTTTGGATTAAAAAAATTTCAATGATGCCAAGTTCAACGCACGAGAAAAAAAAACATTGCAGTTTCGTGCGTCAAGGTATTATATACCGAAATTCCCCAAAAAATACGTGCTTGAAAATCACTTTCATGCTCATATGCGTAGTGTCATTTACGCATTCCTGCGCAAGTTCATTTCCTTTTCAACGTACTCACAGCAAAGAAATATTGAGAAAAAATAACATATCGATAAACGTAATAAAAAAATAAGACAGAATCAAAATCGCGGTGATTGGAAGAGGAGACCGGTCAATAAAAGGAGGGTCAACGCGCTGCTGCACAGGCGGAAGCTAAAAATACCGGGTGCTCGTCGTCGCGCGAACACGGATAAGAAATAAAACTAAGATAAAGATGACGTAAGGATTCCGTAAAATCATATCGAAGTAACAAGGTTCGAGAGCAGAGCAGCGCCACCGCCGCCGTCGCTACTTCTGCGAGTTTATTGCACTCGCTCGCAGTCGCTCAGCGTCAGTTGACTATTTGCATAAGACAAATCGGTAAGTGCCCCTCGTAACTCAGTGCGCCCCAGAGCTGAATGTCTAGACACTGCGTGCACCACCGAACTTCGCGCGCCCGCGCTTGATAGAACAGAAGCAAGCGTATACCGATTGCACACCAAACGGCGACGACGCCGCCGAATCAATAGCTGGGATAATGGCATAAATGAGTGCCGCTTCGGCCGTACCAGTTCACTCGGTAACTCGGTATGTATACGTGTCTGATGTACCCTGCGCCCAGCGCCCGCAAGACTTTTCAAAGTTTCATAATATTATTCCAAGCTTTTTTTCATGAGGTATTGATTTTTTGTTCATTAGTCGAGACATCGGCTTTTAATAAATTACTTCCATCTCCTCAGTGATAGCTGCTTTTTTAGAATTCCCAATAATTTCGAAATTTCTGTTGACATTTAATTGGGGGTTTTTCAATGTATCCGTGAACAGAAGCATGGTTGTTATTTTGATATAAAAAATATTGGATGTCTCATTGTTCAATCATTGAAAACATCATTTTCTAATGATTCCAATTATGTGTTTCAAGTGAGTTTTACAAAAAGTATCTACATTCGACAAACCATCGATCCGCAAATTAAACGATTTGGTACATCTAACATCACCATACGTAATAAACAAACAGAAGTTTACGAAAAATGTCGAAAGCAGCCACTCTTGGTTGAACGTGAAGCTTCTACTCCCAATAATCTGCAGACACCTCATCGTTGGTAAAGATATAGGCGCCGGTGGCTCGTTAATCGCATAGCGGGACGCCGTGGCGCTCGTTATTCTCCAAAACAATCAGGGCCTGCGCGCGTTTGCAAGGATTTATCGATTTTCAAAGGGCACATCGCGCCGATCGTGTGCTATTTTTCGCCTGATCGATTTTTAGTGCTGCTGCCGCCACTGCCGTTGCACACAGCCCAGGGACATAAATTTCCTTCACCCAACGAGCTGATTGGGGTCGATGCTGTTTTTTTTTTTCTTCGTTTTTGGATACCCGTGGTCTCCCTTCCTTCTTATTTCATCCCTGCGTTTCTTACCCTTTTAGCGCGAACCTCGTTTGTAAACAGGAAATGTTGATAACTGCAATCGATCATTCGATTTTTTGCCGTTGAAGCTGTTAGGCGATACTGCACTCTAAAAATATACGAGCGTGCACATTTAAATTGAAACTATATAAAAATGCGCGAGAATATTCAAGTTTAGAGTCTAATGAAATACGAAACCAAACAGACTCGAGCAAGATAAAACTGAATAAAACTCGAATTGTCTAATTAGCCGTGACAAATCAAGCAGCGACAAATAAGCAAGTTGTATAGGGTTGACATCTTAAGCTTGCGATCGTTCGTACTAGATAGTCGCTCGCAGAGCTCTTCGCGAGAAGTTTATCGTGACGTAAGAATGCGACAAGAGTGAGAGAGAGAAAGAGACATGGTCTTGGGGGTCGACCGCACGCGCCGTAAATGGACTGCGTGAACGAGCGCGCGCGACTTGTCCCCCAAGCCTTGTATTTTCTGCACTTGTCCCTCGAGAATCTTCCATATCCTCGACTCACGTTATTCCAATGTTTATCGTGTGACTAGGCTTATTTCTTACGTTTACTCAGATTTACATAATCCTGCCGATTTCTTTTTTCGGTTCTGTTTTGGTAACTCAAGTGTTGAATGTGTCGCGATTAAGAGAAAGAATAATATGATACACGTAAAAATAATTATAACAATTTTGATGCGGCTTTGATCTATGCTGACAACTGCTTATACGTTTGCAAAAAAAGATATTTTTCCAATTCGTACAAATTTCCATTAGTGTTAATTCGCTGTCCAATCCTCATCAACCTTCTGAAGTAGGGGTTCACCAAAGTTTACTGGAGAGCGAGCGGGGGTGGCGGCAATGTGCGGCTTATATTGTTTCCAAGCGACGCACACCAAAGACCAAGGCTTGATGTGTGTTGCGGGCGGTCTGTTGAAATATACTCCACAGACCCGTCAAATATCCGACTGAGCATCTACGGTAAATTGAAAAAAATAATGGTAATAGGCCGGCTTGGCTTTTGTATTCGAAGTTCGAAAATTTTCGGGCGCGTCGAAGGGTGTCTGTAAGTATGAATGTATTCGAGAGGCATTTCCATCAATCATCAAGCTGCTGCGCGGCGCGTAGAGAGGAAAAAAAGAAAGACGAATTAATCATGAGGTGTTGAGCGCATTTTTTCCTCGTCGACGCCTCGTCGAGGGCATTGCTCAGCCGTTTTTCACTTTATGAATCTCTTTGTCTCTCCTTGTCGGCGGATAAAATTGAATTTTCTCCAATGATCAAGAAGCAGGAAACGGCTTTCTTCGAGCTCAAACGTTCAATATTTTGGAAAAAGACTACTCGCTTGCTGGCAGTTTCTCGTTGCATTGGAAAAGAAGAAAGCGAATCCATATAAAAAAATATTCTGGCTGTTAAGAGGATTGCGGTTGCACCCGCACAGAACTGAGCGAAAACGTTCCGACACAATTTTCGTACTGCGCAAAACAGCTTCCACGAAAGTCACCAGTGCATCCTCGTGTAGTACGTGCGGCGTTTTGTGCCGGCCCTAGACGCTATGCTTTTTAATTGTTGGCTTATCGGCTACAAGGGATCGGCCCAGCGCCAAGCATAAATAAAAGCGACCCGCGCTCTCTCGCTCTCGAAGGAATCCCCCCCCCCCCCCCGTGACTACCGGCTGCTGCTGCTGCTGCTGCTTCTCTCACTTTCGCTGAGATAGTTTGGTGCGTCTTTTTTGTGTGTGACTTTTGTAATTTTTTTCCTAATGTTTAGTATTTGCATCGGGTGAGGTGACTATTCGACCAATAAATGTCTGAAAATCAAAAGAAAAATTGTAAGCAGCTAATTTAATCGCGTAAAATTTAATTTATTCTTGTTACCGAAGAAAATTGTTTCTTTACTGAACGACACTTCTCTTTTATTTATTTATTTTTTCGAAGCTCGTGATTTACTTTCGAGTTTGAAGTAACTTGTAAATGAAAAATACGAGTGATTTTATGCAATAAACGCAGATGTATGCCGCACTCGCAATTCTCACTCTACAAAACTATAAGTTATAGACTTTAAAGTTGAAACAAAAGTGATTTACCCCATCTAAAAGTTCCAATCCAGCCAAAATGCCTGTTTCTTGAGAGAACAAGCCATCTTGCGCTCTAAATTTCTCTTGCTCATTCGGCTCTCTCGAATATAATATCGTTCGCTGCCTCGGCGCGAAATAAAATTGCGCGAGCCGGCGTGAAATCTTTGTCTCACTCTCTCATATGCACGTCGTCGGGCCAAGTGCCAGCAGTAAAAGCCCGCCAAAGGTTCTTTTCGTGACGATACCTTCTCTGTGAGAGACTTTAATGGGCAATTCGTCAAGTACAAAAGAATCGTAATCGCTCGTTCCTCTCGTGGTATTGGCCGCTTCGTCAATCAACTTATATGTACCATTGCCTTTTATATTCGTGACTCGAGAGCTGTTGATGCATTTTACCTTTAGGTAATGACGTAGCGCATTCGTTGATGTGACTATTTTATTCTTCTTATTCTTATTCGTCTTCTTCATCTTTGGTGTTTTGACGTCAGGACAATTGATAGTCGTCTCTTTTTCTCTGGTAGACGATCCGAAAAAGTAGTTATGCAAATTTAGATACAATTTTGAAATAAAAGGACGATGCTATAACTGTTATTTATGGAGAGTCGACTAATCGCGTATCTGTTAGTTTTTGAAGATGGCAATAAATAATAATTAAGATGGAATATATGGAAATTTATGCCGAATATTTACGAAAGGAGGGAGGTGGGGTAGAACTTTTAGATAAATAATTAAGCGACAGGCTGGAACACTTGTTACTGTAAATCCGCTTGATAGCGAGTCGGCACGACGGTGAATCATTTTTCCGTGGCCTTTTCAAGGAGTTTATTTTTCGTAAATCTGCCGCCGCCGACTATATACGCAAAACGAGATTAATGGATCTTTGTTTCATTCGCCTCTTTCGGACCTGAATCTGATTCTCGTTTTTTTCCATTCCATTTTGTTATTTATGAATAGCTGTAAAAATATAAAATGATTCTTTTGCTTATTGCCTACCTACAATATATTTTTATGTTAGAAAATATACAGTAATTTCGATTCGTTTTAAATACCAAAAATAACTAATTCCGAGAATAAGCAAATGAATCCCTTATCAATATATTATTTTAGTAAGAAGATCATGTATAGCATGTATTGTATAATCAATCGACAATCAATTGAAAATTAGAAACAAAAATTTTATCTCTATCGTGGATACGCATTTGAATTGGTTACACCTGCCACAATTCCAAAAAGCCGTGTAAATCACGAGATCGTTGACCAAAACTAAAAGAGAATAAGGCTGCTGCAAACCAGTTTGAAAATCTGACTTGGCATTTTTTTTCGTAGGCGTATACGAACCTATGACCAATTGATTTTCCATTCCACGCCTTCCTCAGATGCTGTCTGTGTAAACTTAAACATTGCCGCTGAAAATTATCTTGCTTATCTGGCTTTCGTTAGTGCATTAAAACAAATTTTTTTATGCAGCCGCGAGTGAAAAATGAAATATTAATGTCATTTATCTTGGAGTAATGTGTTTCCTGGTAAAATAGATTTTATTTGAGTGAATGACTGATTTATATATATGAAATTTGATGAGCTCTTATTAAATGAACATAGTGTTTATTTCCAAAATATAACATTGATAATGACCGCTTATTTAATATATTTCATTTGTGATTTGCGCTTACAAATGTTTGCTTTATTAGATATTTCGTTTTCAATAAAAAAAATCCATTATTTTTTCTAACGAGAAGTCCACAGACCAACCGATAATTATTAAACGTTTAATCGTCCATTTAACTTTCACTGTAATTGTTACTTACTATTATTTTCTGAAAAGAAGGGTACGTCGGCAACTTGTTCAAAAGATAGTAAGAGCGCGAAAATCACTGGTCGTTTAAGGAAGCAGCAGCAGTAAGAGAGTGAGAGAGCCAATTACCCCGCAAGCGATTCGCAGCATGCTCTTAGGCACGGTAAAGTGCGGAGGCTAAAATTGCAAGGAAGGGAAGGGAGAAGGAGGTTTCGCGACCGAAGCTGACCCATTTCACTGGGGAGGCACACATCACTTTGACTCGGGCTTGCCAAAGGAGGAAGTAAGTGGATGCGCCCGGTATAACGTCGCTCATATATTAGTACACGGTGGCCATATAGCAGTCTATATGGAGTCGCCAAATGGCATCCTCCTAAACGCCGCCGAGCATGTGAGCACAACCTCCAACCAAACGATGACATTATTGCCAGTAGTTCCTTTATATGCGGTGACGCTCGGCAGATCTCAGATCGCTTTGCCTCCTCGCTCGATAGAAACTGTAGTGCTCAGATAGATCTCTTCTTTTACTCTCTTTCTGAAAGGTCTTTTATATCTTCGGCTGCTAGACTTTCAGCGATTTATTGGTTTTGTTACATCAGCTCTTATCGATTAAAGATTTTTTTTTGCCTCCTTGTCCGAAAACTATGTCAACTATACAATTTTCATCGATTGCAAATTGAAACCACCAGTTCAATTCAATTCAATTAAAATCGAATGTCAACTTGGTATTCGAAGTTACGTATCCGAAACTTCACAGAGCGCCCTTTTTCTGAAAAGCTGTCAGCTTCAAGGGTCACTCACACGTATCTCCAAATTGCAGCGGTCTTGAAAAAAGTTATCCTCCGACACGATATCCAACGATATTATACATCCTACACACTTTGATTTCGGGTGCGGGCGAAATTACATTTCCTTGAGCTTTGCTTCAGCCACTTGTCTCTCTTTTTTCGGCACCCTCGCATAAATATCGCGCAGTAATATTCACACCCACACCTACGTCTCGAACTATACAGACAAAAACTGTTATTATTTCCAATAACATTTTTACGGGTTCTCGTCTCTGTCGCAGATCTAAATCAAGATTACCATTTACGAGAGGCTTATCGAAAGATTTTTTGGCAAAATCGTTATGCCACCGATAACCGGAAAACATTATATAACACGTGTATTTTTTTTTAAGTCTGCGCGAGACACAGTGTTTGGAGAAAGTCGGAATCGTAAAGTTCAAATTAGCGGTTGTATCTGCGAATTTGGCAAAACTGTGGATTTTTGAGGGTTATCATTAAATGTAACTGTAAGGTGTATCGTTGAGAAATTCCAATTCGGAAGTCATTTATTTTTATTGTATTGGAATTTTTCTCAATTAGGTTAACGAATTCCTTTTTAAAAAAATAAATAAAATTACGAGATATTGTAATTGAAATGATACAGTGATGGAAAATGACGCGAGCGCAGAAGAAAAACAATCGCGAAAAAAAATATCCTTTAATCATCCAATCCATCGCGAGTAAGGAAAAAGAACGTGTCTCTCAGAAGAAAATCCGTCAATCGACCAATCCTAAGCTCAACAACAACACGTCGGCTTTCCCGCGCAGTAGACGTTTTTTTCTCCTGTCACAGGGTTATATGCGTACGCGGCTCATTTGGCTTCAAGTTCACACGCGCGCTGTGCGCACGGGTAGGTTAACTCTCTTTTTCTCTCTCTCTCTCTCTCTGCACTTTTTTCGAGAGAGAGAGAGAGAGAGAGAGAGCGAGGGAGTGAAAGAACGAGCGCGGCTCGTAAATCTCGGACGTGTTTGCCTCCTCTCTACTCTGCTCGCGCGCAGCATCGTGGCAGCACAGGGTTCAATGTCGCACGCACGCTCGTCAAATTTGCTCAGCCGTCGCGTGTTTGTTCTGTTTTGACGGGCAGCCGTGCTCACTCTTGAGAGACCGCAGATTTTTGCCCAGATCGCTACCTCTGACGACGAGTGAGGCATGAGCGTTCGTTGCTCTTCTGTCGCGTCGTCTCTCCTCTGTTTACATCCTCGCCAACTCAGACACTCAACGCGGGGTAGCGTTTCGACAGTGACTCGATACCTCTTTTTCGTACCTGTTCATCCTCTTGGGCGGCTGGAAAAGCTGTGGCGAAGAAGAGGGAAATTCGTAGGTCACCTCGATCGATACGGTGAACTCGGCAAATTCGGCATTTCTCCAAGTCCGAAAATGAAAATGCGAGCATTTTCCAAGAAAAAGGAGTTTATATCCCCGTAGTAGGACTTTGAAATACGCAGCGGGCTAATTAAAATGCAAAAGAATATTGATAGTCGGTCAAATACTCCAAGAAATATTAAAAAATCGATCGGAAGTTTCGGTATAATCTTGGCGCTGCTGCCACGACATAACCATAAAATGATAAATAATTCTCGTTCTTTTTTTAGAATGGAATCGTAGAAATTTATTGGTCGCAATGGCGAGCGCAAGATTGCGCGGTTGGTGGACTCTCTCACGCGGCGCAGCTAAATAGCGAAACTTGCATATATATATATACATATACACATAACGTCGCTGGTAAAAAAAAGAAAGGAAAGCGGCACGAAATACGAAATTTCAAGGGACGCGTTATTAATATAAACCCCCCCCCCCTGTTTCGCGAGAGTAGATAGCGATCTCCCACGCCCAGCCAATCGCAGCACATGGTCATCGCATAGACCTGCAATTACCGATCTCTCAAGCCCACCCATAATACGATCTCGCAAGAAAGAGAAAGAGATTCCATTTTATGCATACGCATGTGGATTTTCAATTTATCCCAAGTACGTATGTTAGATCAAGCGAATTATTTCTTATTTGATTAATTTTATTGCGAGACATTATCGGCGATCGGTAACTGTATGAGGCGATGCTTGGAAAACATTGATTTGTTTTATTATAGGTGAAACCTTTAGATGGTTCTCAAGTGTTGTCCTTTGAGTGAATACTATATAAAACGTCAGTTAGTGCTGTTTGAATAAATACATCGATAATGATTTTCAACGGATGATATTTTGAACAGATTATTTCGAACTATGTAGGCACGAGGCTCAAGTTTTTGTTTCGAAACCGAATTGAATTCATCTTTATTGAAGTTCAATAAATTCTCTTTAAGTCGAACCCTTCGCAACTTACATAAAATAGTCTGCGGTGCAATCGCGAATCACGAAAAAGTAAGAAACAAAAATCGTGTGGTCGATAACTGGCCATGTCACAGAGTGAGTTAAAGTAATACGATAAGGGCAAGCTAAGTTGGGATTGTAGAATTTCAGTGTAACGCATTATCCGAATCGCGCGCGCACATCTCTTCTCGAACAACAACACATGTCGCCTAGTTAGTCGAATGAACACACACATCTTAAGTAGATATGTATGCGCGGAGTAAGACGATACTTTGACAAGGAAGAATCGGAAGAGAAAAGATGCTGCTACACTTATATAAAGTCGATATCAATTTTTTTTCTTTCGTCTCGATAACGATCTATATTCTCTAAAGCGTGCGTCTAGAAAGTGAGAAGGGATTTTTTCTTCATTCCGCGGTATACAAAAAGATCTGATGTTTTCTATACATTGTGACACCTTGAAAAACGTGCACTATAAGGAACCGCGAGATATTCTCTCGTCCAAAGTTACCCGATACAGATGGATCCATTTCATTGATCCAATCAATCACTACGTGAGAACGTTGACAAGGTGAATGAACACACAAAGAGGAAGAAGTAAGGTCGCACTATTAATTAGCCTAAAGGCTGTCGCTCTAAGATGACTAGGGCATTTTCCAATGTTAAAGTAGTAGACGTCTCGATGACTAAATTATATATTAGGAAGTTGTGCGCAATCAGATGAGATTGTACTTTGAAGTGACGCGCTTTAAATTTGAAGATTAAGCGATATATTCTGCATTCACGAACATTAAAGAAGTGAAAATTCATCCCTTCCCTTTAGCTAATTAGTACTAATTGCTTGGGTAGCTTGCTCAGATATAAGGATATGTACAATTTTACGATCCCGAAAGTTCCAAAGCATTCTAATTTAATATTCCAACCTAGGTGGCCGCGGCTACCGCCGCATTCACCAATCGAGCCTCTTATTAATTATAAACTCGTGCGCGCTTGCATTCTTCGGCCGCTTCATTAACGATGATATGCTTTTCTGTTTTCAGACGGTCGCCAAGAACCTGCAGCCCGAGCAGCGGTAAGCATCATGCGGCCTTGCGGCGCAACTACTGCTGCTTTAACGAGGCCTGAGGATTTCAATTACCAAATGATTTTTTCGCGCGCTTGCGCATTGTTGCACGTCGTAAATAATTCGACTCCTCGCTTGCCGTTTTATGCCAGCAGAACGGATTGTAAATTTGCAAGCAACTATGCCGGCTGTCGGATTATATTCGTAAACTCGTTTGTTCTTTCAATGGACATTCCGATCTCGTCTATGGGTTTTATTATCGCATTATCGCTACGAGCATTAAATTCAATCGAGTTTTGTTCATTGCATAGTACTTTTCATTTCAAACATTTTCAAAAGATGTTATGGGCAATCAATTACAGATATTCGCGTGGAATACAACATTGCTCCAATAAAAAAAATTTCGAATCATTTGTTTACAGAACTGAGATTTACGGAACTTTTATTCCCATAATATCACTATCAGTAAATTAAATGTACGTTCTATATTTGGACATTTATGCGAAAACCTCGACAAAATCTATAAATATGGATCTTCTATTAAATTAACATTCATTATCCCGATTAGGCGATAGGATTAGAAAAATTAAGAGCAAGTCTATTTATGTCGATTAACAACGGGAATTCCTACCGTGATGTATTGGTATACGAAGCTCTCACGCGAAATCCATCATTCGCGTTCGGCGTGATTATTTTTATCCCATCTTAACATCTCCATGACTTATGTTTCCCCTCTATTTCGGAGTGACGTATGCAAGTGAAACACAAATAACGGGTATTTTTTGCGTTCACAGGTTTACGACAGCAATCCTGATGAAAGCATTTCCAAAAATGAAGTACATAATCGATCTAACCAATACCACGCGATATTACGACCAAACGGTAAGTGACAATTACGCACATACAGAATGGGGTAGAGATGAAAACGGTTGCTTCCACAAATACATGATCAAGTTACACAGCAGTAGAACGTTCTGTTCTGTTTAATGCTTCATTAGACGAAAGATCTCTTCAGTCTATTGGCTTTTTGCATTCCTCTTTTGATTGTTCATCAAGATACTGGAGGAAAAGCTACATCTATTTCTCCTGTGAAGTTTTTTGTCACCTTGACCGATCTTCAAACGATCTATTAATCATAAGGAGTAGCGTGTGCGCTCAAAAACTTGATTGAGGACTACCGTTAGTACAGCAAAGACTCGAGAGCGATGGACTTATAGGATTTTTGTAACAGTATATGTAACGAACTCTAAATAAAATCCGAGATACTCATCGTCGGCGTAGTACACTTCATTAATTTTCAAAAACATGATAATTCATCAAATCATCACATTATATAAAAAAGTTCACTTTCGACGCATATCGGTCATCAGCCGACCCATATTTAAAAAGGGAAAGGTCATAGTGCTGACTCTATTAGGCACTGACTAAAGATCAGGTGAACTGCTGCAGAGCTAATTCAGATGGCTGGGAAGCCTCGGGAGTAAAACTAATGAGCTTTATTATTGAATTTCGCCTCTCGCTCGTCTACTATTACGATGTTGAAAGCTTTCTTGGAGATCTGAGAAAACCGCGCGTAATATTAAAGGCGCGTAGTCTAGCTCCCTTTCTGGGTCAGCCTGATAGGATTATGGATCAAACTAGCTTTATAATGAGATATCTTTTTTTATTCAGATGCTTTTTTGCTATTCTATGGAAAAGGTAATATGTTGATCTTAAGAATTAATTCGCTTATTCTTTTCCGAATGATTTTTGTCTTCATTTTAATTGCGAGTTATTATCCACTTTTGCACCCCCTCCCCCACCCCTGGTCAAGCATTCCTTCTTAAAATCTAATACTTTTCCAATAATCGTCTAATAATCCATACGTGCGAAATTTATGAATTTGATCGGGAAAAGCGCGTGAGAGCTCGTCGTCTTTTCTTCTTCGTCGTCGACGTCTTTTCTTTTCATGCTCTCGCGTGCGCGCCTCGTAAATTTAATCCTCCTAGCCGTTGCGCGCCCGTCATAAATTCACGAGGCAAGCGAGCGAACGAGAGCGAGAGATCTATATTAGACCAAATGAAGATAGAGTCTTCTTCGTGTAGGCAAGGGGAATGCGCGACAAGCGATTCTCGATAAAAATCTGAAGCATCCGAAGCTCGTTAAAAATGAAGGCTTGTGACAACGAGTAAATGTTCATCGGCGCTGTAGGAGAATAATCTCTTTTGCGGGGAAGCTTCGTCGTCAAGGACTATTCTCCAAAGATACCTTCGAGCTATGGAAGAGAGTACAAATAAAATTATGGTCAGTGGATAGTTCCACGATGAGCCAATTTGTCGTGGTTATTATTATGACACCTTCGGGCTAAAAAGCATCTTCCGATTGGATAAATTGTTTTCTTAATCAAAAATTCTCTTCGCCGCTTCGGCTACTCGATCATCGCGCTTTCTATTTTCAATTAATATGGATTGATCATACTTTCTTAGCTATCTTTAATTTCAATACGCATTAAAGATCTAACGTTCAATATATTAGAGCTCTGAAATAAGATCCACAAATAACAATATATTTTGATATGAAGATAAACCTTGAACTCCTCAATTAGCCATATAAACGAATGTACTCTCGAAAGCACAATACCATGGAGCTTATCTTGACTGCCCAATCATCGGTTAACCCCATAACTCAATTAAGCATTCCAAATCGAAAAAATGAAAGATCCAGTTCCCAGATCATTTGACGCCGACGACGACCGCCTACGTAATTATTCATGTCATTAATAATTAACAGGAGGAGCCCTCCTCTTGCGAAAGGATAATTAAAGCGAAGTAGCTTTCTTTTTTTCTTTACTTCAAAAAGAAAAGAGGTGAACGATCGCGAGAGGCGTGAACTTCATGCGTCGGAGTATGCGCGGCGGTGAGGTTTGATTGATAAGCGACGTTGTTCTTTCAAGAGTCTCTGAGTTATTCCCTTGAGCCCTTCTACTATATCCTTATATCTTCTTTTTTGCGGAGAGACAAATGTCTTAATTTTTGAGTTGCTGGCAAATATTTTTCTGCTGATATAAGCCGGATATATCTTCTTCTCGCTTTTAGTTCGATGCATTGCCATACATATTTATTTTTTTGAATCTACGTATGATTTTTAAGCACTGTCAATTTGTCGAATTCGATATTAACGCTTAATACGATTCTATTGTAAATTTTTTAAAGATAATAAAAAAACTCTGGAAAGCTTTCTTTCATCGTACGAAATATGAAAATTGATTTGAAGAATTTTTTACCTTATCTAAATTTATATGTGAAATCGCAACTACTTTATATATTAACGTACAGTTATGGCTAAAGTTATGTGAATCCAAAATCTTCCAAACACAGCATTATAAAAAATTTCAGCTAGATTCATTCCCCATTAAGGTTTTCAAGTATTCTATACAGTTATTAAAAATACCTTCTTGCGCTGCTTCTCTCTTTTAATAAAACGAAATGATAATCGTCACGCTAAAGAGTCATTTAATTGAAACTCATAAAGTTAAATAACTTGCGGCGCGTTATAACTATCCATGTGTGTTGCAGGACTTCACCAATGCAGGCATCAAGTACCAGAAAGTTATGATTCCGGGAATGCAAGTGCCGCCGCTGGAGTGCGTAAAAAGGTGAGTGCAAGCAAACGTAAGCATACATTCGTTCGTGCGAACCTTAATTCAAGGCCCCTCTCTGCCTCCACTCGTGCAAATCTCTTCTCAAAGAAAAAGAGGGGAGGCCACACTATCCGCCATAAAATCGGCTTTTACGAGCTGTGGACGCCTTTCTTTTCGCGCGCCGCCCATTAAAGCGTCCAGTTCTCGTGCAAATACTTTTCTCTCGCGAATTTCTTCGACGACGACGACGGCGTAGCTCAAGGAAAATATCGCTTAGTTTGTACATGCCGGATTATCTGTCTTTATTTTCATTCGATAATCTGTTTGTTGCTTTATTTAACGAGCCAGTTTTATGCGGAATAAGGACAGCTATTTCAAACTCTTTTTTTTTGTGAATACAAATTTTCATGAATGTTGCACGTACAATCTGCTCATCGTAATCTTGCTGAATGTTAAATTAAGGTTTGAAATAGCACGAATAGTCCAACCAAAATCTTGATTTTAATAAACAGACTCATGTTTTTGAAGTTTGTACAAATACGTAAGCGTCTCGGAAAAATGTCCAAGTTACGCGCTGTGCGAGTGAACGGAAAACACTCTGCCAAAGTATAATTTACAAAATTCACTGTGGTTTGGCTTTATCTCTCAACATTTCTTACAAAATCCAGTGGCACTTTCACTAAATACCGAAATTCCCTAACTGCATGGTAGAAAATAAGAAGTACCTTCACCTGTAAAGTTCCACTTCTTATTCTCGGGCTTGCAATCACTTGAGCATTCGAATGTATGTACCGCAAATTATGCATACGTTTAATAAACATCGAGTATACGTGTACGCAGTCAACTAAACACTCATCTTACGAGCGTGTGTGTTGTGAATGTGCAAAAATGCACTTGACCCACATTTGCACAACCTCAGTACCTCGCTGCGCCGCGCATTAACAATATTACAAACAACTTACAACCAATTTCAAGTATCTTTGCATAAAACGACCATTGATTATATCAAAAACTTATTAAGATTAGTTTGTAAAACAACTCTTCGTCGTTATCTCAATCGCCTGCGATTCTAATTGGGATTATCTCAAGGAATTCAATTTAAACCTGTTGCAAAATTATTGGACAGTTCAACTTATTATTATTGAGTCACCTATCATACATCAAGGATAATATTCAAATATGCGAATTACTTGATATTTTCCTTCGTGTTTCCAACGGAATAGCAAAGCTTCGTTCAAAAGAAGAAGCCATACGAACTAGCATTTGAAACTCGTACTATCTCCCATGAAATATGAAGTCCGCTCAACAAATAAATGAACTCAGCATAGTGAATTCCTTCTGGCGCTCGGGCAAAAATAAAAACTAACGTGCTAACAAGCGATCGGTAGCTGCGCGTCGTTGTCGTCCGCCACAGGTAGCCATCGGCAGCGTGGGTGCAGGCAATGCCAATCGTCCATCACGATCCCTCTTTCTTTCCATCTGCTCGATTTGCTTCCCATTCGCGCGAGTTTTTTCTTGTTTATCTTGGATTATGCATAAATTTTGCCGTTGTATCGTCGAATCTATATCGTCGTAGAGAAAACCAGATATCCCTCGGAGAAGTTTTACGAGCATGCGTTTCTGAACGCACTGCTATCACGCGACCCTACAGGTTATACTGCAGCTGATTTTCAGAACTATGTTGGCGTAGTGAAACATCAGAAATGCGTTAAGTGTATAGGAGAAGAGAAGGGTTTCGCCTAGAAAGCTTACCGCATTGTCTCGGCGAAGATCGTTAATGATGAGTTCATAGCTTGCCTTCTATTTGCACACTAGCCTAATTTGCAGCCTCGTTAATTCGATTCGAATTTGATTTACCGTAAACTAGTTTTTGTAAATGTTACCAGGAGGAGTAACTCGAATAACGTAAAAACGGTGTACAGTGCAAAAATGACTGTCTCTCATTAAACAAAGGAGCGCTAGGCGACTTCACGGCGCATCGACGCGTGTGAATAGCACATACATGCGCACGCGCGCGTACTGGCTCACGCGAATATTGAGTGTATGTCTCTGTCTGTCTGTGTGTAACCTTAGCATGCAAAGTAGATCCCCGTGCCCATGTCAGCTAATTAACCGTTTGATTTTACATGTCCGTCATCGCGGTTCCGCTTTCGATCATCGTCGTCGTCGGCAAAACAAAGAATATTAATTGTTGCAGAAATAAAATTAGAAGGATCATTGAATGAATTGTTGTTTGTTACCTCTGTCTGTCTGTCTGTCTGTCTGTCTGTTTGTCTGTCTCTCTCTCTCTCTCTCTCTCTCTCTCTCTCTCTCTCTCTCTCTCTCTCTCTCTCTCTCTCTCTCTCTCTCTCTCTCTCTCTCTCTCTCTCTCTCTCTCTCTCTCTCTCTCTGTCGCGTGTTCGCGGGCGTTTGGTAAATGAGTCATTAAAATCGAGTGCAAAGTGGATAGTATATCATGCGGGTAAGAAAAAAAATAAAAAATAAACCTGGTGCACGAGTATGATTGACACGCGACGCGCGACTTATGTTGAAATTGAGAGACGTTAGGTGCAGGTATCTCTCGCGTGTGCACCTCACTCTAACAAGGTATTCCCATAAGGACGTTAATGAATATTTCAAATATTAATTACTTATAGTATGGCATGCATTGATTGCTAAACAAAATGCTTAGTGCGGCGATCGAGTTTTATTTGTTTCGTATGAAAACTTTTGAAATATTGTTATTTTTATTACGACAGTGTCTAAATGTCTGTGGTATTACGGAACTACACTTGTAAAATGAAAATGTTCGTTTCTCCAGGCATGTCACTTAATCTGGTGTTATTTTCTATCGGTGAATTAGTAAGATAAGTGCAATGACTTCTTCATGTTGTGAAATTCTTCTTATTGTCGTCTTATGATCAGCATTTTGATAAAAAAACTTAAGTAAGTTAGCAAACACTCTCTTCCGTACACAAACAAATTAGTCTCGCGAGAGTAGTACACGTCGCGTGAAAAAAAAGAAGCAGCGTAACCCTTTCACGGTAGTCTCGTAAAGCGTCGCATTTGTGTCGTGTGCTCGTGGCTTAAAAAGAAAGCTTCGCGCGTTGCACACTACTCTTACGAGTCTCTCTTCGGTTTTCCCACAACGAGAGACACGGTATACATTTTCTCCCGTATTCTGTCGCGACTATTTATTTTGCAAAACCTAGCACATGAGAAGACAAGAACGGAGCCTTTTATGCCATTCTTGAATATTTACGTATTTGGTTAAACAGTAATTACAAGTGTATCCTTGAAGAAGCACGGAAATTTGATATCGATTGCACGGTGACGCGTCAACACCTAATTTCCCGTGGAGAATGAAAGAAAAATTTCCTATATAAAATTAATTTATCGCCCGATTTACAATTCATATTGCCCGTAAAAAATATATTTACTTTCGCCGAGCAGCAGTAGTTCTTTCACGGATTGCTTCACGTTTTTAATAATAGCTCGCGCGGCTAAGGCAGTTGACGGAAAAATAAATGAAAAAATCACCGACCTTTCTTCCTCTTCTACGTAATGCATGCACATTCCGCACCGGTGCTTCGTTCAGATATATATTTCTCTCTGAATTTTTCAAAGACAGCATACCACTTGTTTACTAATTAGTTTCAGCTTAGAAAAAAGGGATTTTTACGATCAGCGGCAACGTCAACGAACTCTCCTTTCTAACTAATCTTTACCTTAAATGATTCACGTATATTAAATGAGTCGATGCGCGCAGCTGCAAGAGTCAGGGGCCATTTAGCGGTTTACGTCTAAACGGCGCTTCCCCGAAGAAGTTGCTAAAGTCAAGTCTTGGGGACAGAGGGAATTAGTATCACTTAGAAGTTTGAGAGAAACAGAGCTGCTGTTGCTCATCTGTGAGAAAACATCTCCAACGAACATTCCGAATATTTTCTTTTTGGAAAGCCCATAAGAAAAGAAGCAATTTGAAGAAAAAAAGGGCGCATTCTTTTTATTTAGTATCCGCGAAGGAAATGCCACCCGAGTTGCGAGAGTCAATATGCATCAGAAACCGAACCTTTGGAGTTCTGTGACATAGAGAGAGTGTCGCGTGCGATGAATCACCGACTCTTGCAATTGCAAGCAGAGAGCACATTACATTAGGCGCACGTGCCAAAGCGTGTGGGCGTCGTGGCGCCTCTCCATCGCTCGCACTCGCGACGTCTCTATATCGTTCAAAGAAAGCGGATACGTTGTAAGTATAAAATGGCCCCGAGAATGAACGGGAGAGGTGCGAAGGTTATATTCAACCGACTGTAGTGTGGGATAGTTTGTGCAAGATGAAATTTTTTTTTTTATAAACCATCAATCTCGTCAATCTTTTTTGGTTTTATGGATGGATCATTATTCATAAATGTCGATTTCCTCGATGATTAAAGAAATCCAATCCGTTAATTATTTTTTTTATCGAGTTGTTTACTTCTTGATTAATTCCTGAGCTAATTTGTTTTGACGTTTATGGATAGAATTAAAAAAAACAGATTTCTTAGCTATAAAGTGTTGTTCACGTAAGATTGATTTAGTAGCTGAAAAAAAATCAATTCTTCAAAAACTCATTTTCGATCTCAAATGAACAATCTACAAAAAAATAGACAGACACAATGATTCCCTATCAAAACATTGATCCAACGCACACAATGAAATCTCATCAACGCACGACGTCATAAGTTGCAGCAAATTAATTCGCGAGAGAAATCTCTCTTTCAACCAATTAATTCAGTATACTATGCTACGTTCACTCACTTCTCTCGACCCATCTCAAATATTTTGACGCGAGCGATTGTGGGTGGTAACACACTCGACGCGCTTTTGCGTGTGGAATTTCGTGCCCGCAGCACGAGGTTTAATGAGGGGGAAATGGCAAAAAGTGTCCCTTTTTCTTATCTGCTCGATAAATTTGTTCGCGCCAGTGCTTATCTTGTAGTCTCATACAATTAAGCTAATTACGCGAGATCACCCTCGATAAATATGTCGATTTTTATCATAAGCACATTCGTAGACTTATCTACCTAAAAAGAAAATCAAATAAATTTCTTGTCATATAAGAGTCTCACAAGTAATCGACGAAAGAATGTGACCGAAAAGATTTGAGGTGAGAAGGTTTCAGGGACCACCCGGGCTGATCTCTTCATTACGTAAATTCTCATTCCCTTCGCTTCATTACGCGCTATCTTGGTGCATTCTCATTACAGAGTGGCGTCTAAGCCAAATAAGGGCTAAAATGTCGTACTCTTTCGCGGCCTTTTATACTTATCGCGATGCGATCTAATTTAGATTAAATTTCGAGATTCGTATTTCTTGATGAGCATTTCTTTCACGAATAAATTCAACAGCTTTATTTAAATTTCCAATTGTTTTTTCACGAACGTACATACATCGTAAAATCATATGAGAAATTTTTTATAATCACACTATTGACTGCGTCGTAAACAGTCTCACTGATTTTCCAAATAAATTTATTCAAAGCGCACACCCGATAAATGTATGAAAGTATGTCAATGACTCTACCGCAAGTGATTCGACAGCTCTCCATTTCCATTGGTGTTTCATCGCACGCGCTTTTCCTACTTCACCATTTGATTTTTAACTAAACCGCGTTGCATCACGAAAAAAAAATAAACTCTATCAACCAGTAATTCTACATTATGCCAGCGTCCGACAATCTCTCGCGCGGAAATCAAACATCTCAGTAAAAGTAACAAAGGTACGGGAGGAAGGTCAATTGAGAAACGAGCCTGATGTTTGCCAAGTACTCGAGAGCAGAAGATTTTCTACTCGTGTGGTTCTGCCCCTTTGCCGAGTAGATTGCAGAAACAAGAAAAACAAAGGAAAACACCTACATCATAAATGAGTCACAAAATTATCACTTTTTTATTTCGTCCGTCAGGTCTTGGGAATAGGCATACAATTACAATTGTTGTTGGGATTCAGTTGTCCCGGGCATGGTGTAGAAGTAGCGATATTCTCAGATGCAGTCGGTTGTTGCTGATCACACTTATCTGCTTCGTTCTGCGCCTCCTCTGCAAGACTTGCACCTTCTTTCCTTGAATCTTCCGACTGTTGCTGCCCGTCTCCCTTATCTTCACTCGTTGTGTTTTCGTCCGCTAAAATAGAAACATGACCTTCCAGTTAGCAAAAGCGAGCAATATAATGACCTTTTTCTCTTTATTCGCCAGAAACTCACCTCCTTTTGATATCTCATCTTTACGATCTTGCGATGTCCCGACTAGGAAATATATTAAATAGTCAGTTTTAGTTAGAGAATCTCACGATAGGTTAATCGAACAGAAACTTAAACAATATTGGACAGGCGTCACATGTTCGTCAAATTTCTTTGATTCCGAATGATTAGTTTAATTTGGCTTGTGTTTTAAATTAACAATATTAGCTGAAAAGTATTTTTGATACAGACTTTAATGCCAAAAGTCATAAAAAATAAAAAGCAACTAAAAATTAATAATGAACAAAATTCTCTATTTCTCTCTCTCTCTCTCTCTCTCTCTCTCTCTCTCTCTCTCTCTCTCTCTCTCTCTCTCTCTACGCATTCACAGAATGTTGTCTGACTCCCAGGAAAAATCATATCAGTAAAAAAAAAATTAATCATAGGCATGAAAAATAAACGATAAATAAGGCATAGCAACAAGTCGCTCGGTCACGCAGATTACACCCCCGGCCGAACACAACAAAATTAACTGAAAACCTTTGACTGCTATAATGAGACATAAACGTTCTCGACGGACAATACGTGCGCAGCTTTCCAACAGACTGTGTCTCGTCTTCTTCATGCAAATGGCTTACGATAAAGACGACGACGTCGTATGGAAAAACAGGCGAAGCAACAAGCATAACACAACAATGCGTTTATATGTACGGGTCGAAAACATATTGTAAGTCATTAGCTGAGCCTTTCTTTTCTCTCGTTTTTTCTCGAAGAGAGTTCTCTGCTTCCCTCGTTATGATGATTGGTGTCGACACCTTTGTTTTTTTTTTTGAGCGCCCGCGTGGAGAATTGAAATTTATATCGGGCGTGCGAAGATATGATGGTTTCAACCGACGGCGCGCGGGAGCTCCAGCTATTGTTGCTGATGAGACTATTATGAAAACTTTTGCTTGGTTGTGCTAGTATGATCTAACTAGAAGTTGAAGAATCATAAGATTAATAGTTACAATCGATTCGTCGTCGGACAATAGCAAAACCGGCGATCGCTGGGGGTGGTGGTATTGAAATTGGCAACTCGGTAACTGTGACGCCAGCTTCGTCTTCGTATGTTAATACACGCCTGCAGCAGCCTTGCTTTGGTCGTCGGTTTAGTGGTTCATCATTTTGTGTCTGCGGCGAACTACAATTCTTTTAGATGTCTTTTGAAGACATAATTCGTCAACGTCATATCGAACTAAATTTTTTTTTGATACGATTAAATTGTCAAAAACAAATGTATAAATAAATAACCATTTTAGGTTATAAATACCTACGTTTCATGAGCATCATCATTCCTCAACGAAGCAGCCTTATCCTTCGGACAATTGCACATTCTTACTGAACTTAGTTATGAAAAATAGTTTCACTTGAAATTTTGTCGTACTTTATTTTTATTTTATTTTTTTTAAGCGGGTAATTATCCGAAAGGATTGGGCGTTGACATCGTTCGTCGCGCCACAAGGAGGCCACACAGAGTCGTACATCAAGGTCGCGGACGCGACGCGACAATGCTGACAGCCGATGATTGCGCGCACTTCACGTTGCTGATTAATGCGCTCCGCTTGTTTACGAGCTACGCTGCTGCTGTTTACTTTCGTTATTATATGAGCCCGGAGTTTTGTCTCGGATCTGCGATTCTAATGCCGCAAGATATAAAGATCCTTGGCAATCTCGTAGTGCGTGTATATTGATCGATGCGACCTTCGTTCAAATGACTGTGACACATTATTTACTCTCTCTTCCTCTCCTTGTCTCTCTCTCTCTCTCTCGAAATAATACCATGCAAATCAATTTATGTACGTAAATGTAAACACCAAATCGAGTTAACATATTTCAAGGGTGTAAGATAAATTAACATGTCTTTAATGTTAAATATTTACAGGAGTGTTTACATGACTGCAATATAAGTCATTCGATTATTAATTTTAACTCGATCGAAACCAATTATTTAAAAACAGTTTTATTTAATCTATCGAGAAATTATTTTTGATGCACAATATCAACAAATGTTGTTTAAAATCTGTTGTCGACATGTTTATTTTTGACAATTCAGTAAATAGCACCAGACGCTGAAGAAATCGTGTAACTTATAACGAGGAATAAATTAAAAGGTAATTGTACGATATTCTACAGTTATAAGAAACTGCGATTTGTACTCAAATGTGATATTCGGTATCTTTTTTCTTTGCCCTTTTTTTGTTTTAGTTTTTTTACCATTTTTTGTCTCACTTGATCATAGCTTTCACGATATGAAAATTCCTTCAGTGACGAGTTTTTCGGACGGAAAATTGTTCAAACGTTAGCCATCATTACTCATCGATTACGGCTTTTTCACATCCAATCAATATTAACTTCCCACTCGAGAGAGTAGAAAAAAACAAAAGCATTAGATTTATATTGTCAATGACTTAGACGCGCACGAGGTTCTCTCTCTCTCTCTCTCTCTCTCTCTCTCTCTCTCTCTCTCTCTCTCACAGATCTCATTACGGCTTTCGTCATGAAACGAAGCCGCGCGTCATTACCTTTTTTTTCTCAGCCCGCGCGCAGGTATGCGAAGGAGTGAGTTAGTGGTTATAATCACGTTAGACTAATCGCTGCTGTAGGGGGTTGTCCGCAGCAAATGAAAGGGGGATGAGAGGGCGCTAAAACGGCCTATTAACGGCCAATTGGCTGTACCGCCACATTTCGTGCTCTCTCTCTCTCTCTCTCTCTCTCTCTTGGCTCGCGCCGAAAAATGCACCGGTGCTGTTCTTTGGCTCCCAAAGTCTTTTCTTTTTACCCCAAGAGTTATGAACGATGATTAATTAAATGATGCTTGTGATTTCGTTCGGCTCTTTTATTTTTTTTATTTATCGTCTTCTCCTTTTGATTTAAATGTACGTGCGAGTTTCTAGAAAAATATGATTAAGCAGAATTATGATTCTTTTATCTGGATCATTAATAAAGAGAACACGTGTATAATTAATTAATATAAAACGATTTGAAGTATCCAAGTGTTATTAATACTATAATTTAAATTCTTTTATTCTGATTCCAGATTTTTCAAAGCCATGGAAATGTTCACAGCGGAGTGTGGTGAAGGTTAGTATCGCACACCTTTTATATATTCACGGAGTAGACTACCAGCTCTGAAAAGTCCTGTATACTTCTCATCTTCAGCCACGCATGCACATACACACATACACATTGGTTTTGTACGCCTAAAATAGTCAGAACGATTCGTTCTGCTTTCGTCGGGTCGGAAGATCGATCGATCGTTCGTAGCTCATCGATCATCTAAACTTCTGTGCTGCGCGCGCGCACACACACTCGATGATTGACGAGTGTATATCTCGTCTGCGTGCAAAAGTAAATTGTCCGTTACAAAACGACAAAAGAACAACATTCATTTACCAGAACAATTTTATAGCTATCATTGAATATGCATATAACACACGAAGAAACTAGCCAGGCATATTCCTCGTGTATATAAATCCCGCTATACAAAAGAAAGTCATCGGTACATAGGCTGTTGCTTATCGAGGTTTTCGAGTTCTAACGCGACACCTTTCTCCATTAGCTGTCATTTGTTTTTTCGGTACACGAGCGCGAGGTGATTTTTTCCTTTATCTCTCTCGTTCGGGGTTTTTATCGGCTTTCGGTGCTTGAGGTTAGAAGTTATTTGACGGTCGATTATGCATACCAGTATGTAGGATATCAGGATAAGGTTTTTCGGCCGACTATTAATAATGAAGATAGAATATAAAACTATATGTAGCACTATAACTTTTCATTTATGTAACGATTATCCACTTTTTTTCCTTCTTCTTCTTTCATTATATTGAGATAATATTTTCGTGCAAGGTAAATTCCCATTGATAAACTTGACCCATCAACATTTGTAATTAGCCAGAAATAATATTTACTTGGAAGATCAACTAATACACCACAATTCTATTGCGTAATTTCGTTGTTTGTTTGATTTATAGCCAATCGTTGTCTCGTTCATCATCACGTGAGTCCAATTTAAGCGAGCGCGAACCTTGGCGCCAAAGGATTTTCACGAGTTGCGTTCCCTGCTCCACAGGAGTCGTATGCACGTTAACGCAACCGACGCCATCAATTAGCGCTGCCTTGATTAATCCCGATATTCGCGCTGTGCGCCACACGATCTTATACAGCAAGATTATTTACAGACCAAAAGCTTCGACACGTAATGCTTAGAGAAGCTATTCTTTTTTTGGTCTTAGTCGTGAAGATATATACGTAGAGAGAAATCCGCTGACCTCATATTCATGTACAACAGTGTAATAATCTTTTATTGCATCAGAGAGCTAAGTAAACGTCAAATAGATTGAAACCCTACACCTCTCTCAAAAAAGGATGTGCCCGAAAGAAGATTTCATTTGTCGGTGCTTGTAGAATACGTGCCACGACATAGTGGCGGGCAGATTTCGCATTCGATAGTACACACTTAAGCTGCCATTTCGGGTCTGTGTGGCGTATGCAAAAGTTGCCGAGCGAATGGAAAAAAAGGAGAGAAGGAAACGACCTCGGAAAAATAGACGACGTATAAAGAAATAAAAAAGCTGACGCGCGTGCGAACGAGGCCAGTAACGTGGATTAACCGCTGCATTTCGTCGGGTTGCGACCCCTTTCTTCTTCTTTTTCAGTTTATTTCTCAAGGCCAAAAGTCTTCTTTTTTCCATCAACTTCGTCTTTAAACTGCTTTGTTCCCAATAGTTTTCAAAGTTTTCCCTCTGAATGGAGTTTATTGTTTGATTTCCGTTTTTAAAAGTTATTGGTAAATAGAATTTATCAGCTGTTTGTCGCGAAGTCACGCGGCATAGCATCGAACTTTTTCTGAACTTGCAGATGCGATTGAGGAAAAAAGTGTCGTCGATGGTTCACTTTGCCGTGTGACATTGGGATGTTTGAGTGCTGACGGAAAAACGATTTTGAATTTTAATTTTTGGAGATGCGTATTCTTAATAAAGAGCTTGCAACGCTTTTTTGCTCGAAGACGGAATTTCAAAATCCATAAAAGTGGCTGATTAATCAAATAACACACCACTCTTCTTCATCAAATTTCATTATCCCTTCATTTTCCGAAAAAAATGTCAATCTATGTCGATTTCCTTTTAACGAATTCCGCAAATACAAAAAGGTTCATCCCATTCATGAAATAAGTGCACATGTAACTTTATGCGCTCACTTTTACTTCTCTCCGGTTATTTCTTTTTTTTTTCTCGTCTCTTCTAAAACATTCACCAGTCGTACTAAAGCTGTCGATCAATAAAGCAGCTGCTGTGGCCTGGCCGTATTGCTTCTTAGAAACAATCAACACGTGTTTTCTGCTCCCTTCTTTAGAGTGTACTATATGTAGGTATATGTACGTGTATATAGATGTACCTATGCAGTTACTTCTGAACCCACGCGATGTCAACGTTTCCCCATTTCCTCGTGCCATATTCTACATGGCATTTCATTGAAGGATCATGACGGAAAATAATTTTCGAATTATGTAAGACAGCGTCATTGCGTCTTGTAAATTATTATAGCCTAAAATCAAGTTATTTTACTTGAACTCTCTTAACAGGACATTCGCGAGAAGCTCGTAGCAAAAAGGATGAAACTTGTTAAATGTTTCTTGAAATAACAAGAATACTTTGCGTGCGTGTAATACAATCTCATCCGCAGTAGAGTTCCTCTTAAAAAGAACTTCGCCGTTCATTTAAACCTAAAAGGAAATACGGATAGTAGGTAAACGGCGCCGCGCGTAAGGCGAAACATTAAGTTCCAATTAGAATAAGTAACCGATATTAAAGATATTTTATGCTTGGGGCAATTTAAACTTCACCACGCGCATAATAAATGCGACGGATAGCTGCGGCGAGGAACCATACAAAGCAAAAAAAAGTATTTATTTATATTGATCTTATTTGCATGTACCGCGCGTATTAATCATCTCACACATTATATAAACGTTCACGCCCGATTCTCTCGCGCCGACCATTTTCACGCTCTCTCGGCATCGTCAATTACCGGGGAGCCCTTCTTCGCGAGGCAGAATGTATGCATTTTCGTAACAGAAACAAAAAATCAACGGCAGAACCAACGTCATTATTACTCTTTGAGGTTGTTATCGGATATTTCGCTCGGAAGAAAGAAATCAGGTCTCTCTCTCTCTCTCTCTCTCTCTCTCGCGTTCTTTCTTCGTGTATATACGATAATAATAACATCGCAACAAGCAATATTGTACCTTACTGGCCTCGCTCGATCGCTGAAGTATGTAGAGGGTCAGGGGTTACATGGCACCGCGGCGGACGAGGTCGATTGAGAGTGTATGTATCCCGGATAACTGGTCGCCACGCAAACGGCGACACAATACCCCCTTTTTTCTCTTTGCGCGCCGAAGTCGCCGCTCTCTCATTAACTTTTTCGCCCTGCCTCAAAAAAAATATGATGAAATGTTAAAGGATGCGAGAATAACAGCCGCAACGGTGAAGTTTCCTAATCGATGGCCGTTTCCATCGCTAAATTGACTTGATAATCGATCGTATATATGGCATGAAAAAAAATCTGGACAGTTAACGTGTGAAAGTGTGTTCGGTTCAGCGCATTCTTTTTTACTTCATCGTGCTATATAGATCGAATGTCTGACTTCATTAATTTAAAGGATTGATTGTGGCCTAATTTTGTAAGGCGATATGTATGCTTACCATTTCGTCGATGTTAAAAATACACGTACGGGTAATGAATTAGATTTGAAGAGGCAACATTACTTAAAAATGAATGTATTTGATCCCAATTGACCATCGTCAGTAATAATATGATGGACTTGTTTGATATAAAGACTTATACACTAATTCATCAACATTTCTGGATGTTTCAGATGAAATAATAGGTGTTCACTGTACTCACGGTGTTAATCGATCTGGTTACCTGATATGCCGGTAAGGAAAAGTTGTTGACTCCGTATACAGACGCAAAAAAAACTGTATATCTAATGAATATTTGTCATCGCAGGTTCCTAACGCAACAACTGGGTTGGTCACATTCAAATGCTTTGAAACGTATGTGTGAAATGTCACATCTATTTGAGCACTGAAGTAAATTCGAGAGATTGCTTAAAGCAGACCTGTTTTTTAATCTGATTGCAGATTTTGCCGAAGCTCGTGGTTACCCAATAGAGCGGGCTACATACATTGCCGACTTGAAGCGACAACCAGTTGGCACGAAGATCGACTTGAGCAAAGTCCAACTGAATGCGCCAATCAAATTACCCAAACAGAGACCAAACATGAAACATCTTGGTCCACGTCCACCGTTCCCACCGATGACTCCACCAGGGCCACCAATGCCACCACGTCGTTTCATGAATGGCGCACCATTCCCACCTGGAGCACCACCCGGCAAATATGGCCCACCGAGAACACCTGTATTTGGACCTCCACGACCTCCACCACCAATGGCTGGTCCTCCACCAATTCCACGTGGTCCACCTATGTTTGGACCTCCAAGACCGCCACGGGGTCCGTTCGGACCCATGCCGCCACCACCACCTGGACCTATGCGACATCATGGGCCTATGCCACCCCCACCACCAGTACCACCAGGTATGCGTATGCCTGGACCTCCTAGGCCGCCTCCAATGGGCCCTCCAGGCCCACCACCACGACCACATCCTGGTATGACGTCCAGAATAGGCCCACCTGGCCCTCCTAGACCTCCACCACCACCACCTATGAGAATGATGCCACCAGGCAAAATGGCGCCACCAGCGCCAAGGCCCAATACTCGGGCTGCCAAACAAATCAGGGACCAAGATTTCACGGCTGATGTTTTCGAAGAGAATTTGGCGGCCAAACCCACGAGGGCCACTCGTAAGAGGCCTTATCCAAGAAACTGACGATAGCTTGATAGCGACTATTATACCTACGGTACAACTCGTCGTGTATATGTGGAGACGCGTCTGAGGAAGAGAGTTTTATCATGAAAGAGAGTGAGCAAGGCAACAGCACTATGAATTTCTTTTCTTTTCTTTTAATAGATTATTATCGAGACTAATCGGCCTGGGCGTGTCACTCAATGTTTTTTCCTTCCTACATCCCGACTTTTCCTTTTCTTTCTTTCTTCTTTTGTTTTAAGTAGCACGACTGTAAAAATTTATTTGATGCATGTTTGTTTTTAGCTTTACCTCAGTATTCACGCGAATTACCGCTTATGTAGGTTTATATACATAAATACATTTAGACGAAACGGTAAATTTCTGTTGCTCAATTTTTTTTTATAGTCAGTTTCCCTACATCCGTCTCGCAACAAGTCAGTTTATAACATTATAGTAAGATGTATGTTTTTTTCCTTCCTTAGTTTCTACGAATACTTATGTACAATGACCAATACCATGTTAAATATATAATATTATTGTAATAATAATTAATGACGATACCTCAGGTATCAACGATTTTCCACCTATTATAATTTAATGAATTAATTATACATATATAAATAAAACCTGTGTCCTTATACCAATATTTTTGTGTATTTTTAAATACATTGTATTGTGAGAAATAAGGCTACTTTCATTATCATGCCGACAGTTACGCGCGTCGGGATGATTACATAGTGGCTGTATAATTTTGGAAAAGAAATAATCGAATCAAGTAATAAAATGTTCGTTCTATAAATTCCAATGGTCACTTGATTACCGTATCCCTTACAGTCTCCTCGATCATGAATAATATTATCATTCGGTTTGTAAATCATACACAAGAATATAATTCGTTCGATACCTTGATAGATGCTAAGGTGTATATATATAGTCTGCAGGTCACGTCTCGACTAATTTAATAGACTAGCAACTTAATCCACCGCAACGCCGAGTGCACATTGAGCGAGATACAATCTTTCTCTCTCTCTCTCTTTCCCGACGATGATTTCATTCCTCTTAGCGGGAGCCACACAACAATGGTTGCGATGAGATCGTAATATAAAGTCAATGTTTTTATGATCATAGAATCTGTTGCCTTCTGTCCCATATTAATTGGCGAGGAGTAGTTAGTCGCGTAAACACGCGAAGTCAGAGGTCAGCCTTCTTCTTCGTATTACACACGCGTAGGAGGTGCTCAAACATCTCTTCGGCCATATATCACAATCTGCACGCGCCGCGCCGTGACGTCGCAGGAGAGAAAAAAAATTTCCTCGAATTATTTACGACGCTCTCTTTCGTGCATATCTCGCAAAGCTTAATTATTTATTGTCCCATTGAGAGACACGCGTGAGATTTGCCAATGTATATATATATATATATATATATATATATATATTAATTTATGTAAAAATTAAAAGCGAGTGGAAAAGCACGCGAGAGAAAGAGGGGTATATAAAGTAAGCTTCGGATCTTCGTAAATCAGCCAACGATATCTCGCAACTTTTGTCCCGATATATATCGAGGGAAAAGCAATCGCGAGTGCTGCTGCTGCTGCTGCTGCTGCTGCTGCTGCTCGCGGATGTATAAAAGCGAAGGGAGTAAGAGTTTTCCGGTGCAACGCACCAGCGCACCTATCCCCAGCAGACATTAGATTTATCGACGTATTTTCTTTTGGCCGAGAGCTATACGACGACGACCCAAGAGAGAGAGAGAGAGGGAGACAGAGAGAGTCTCGGCGACGACAACGCTTTTGTACGCCGATACTATATACGTTTGGGTCGATCGCGATTTCATCATTTCTCCGATATTGCCTATTTGCTGAACGATTGTGCGTGTGATGCTACCGATTCAAACGCTCAGATGGGATATATGATTTTCGAGAGAAAAACAGGACTTAATGGAACGTATTAAGGCTTTGATTATTTTTTTTATTGGAAATGTTGTGGCGATGTACTTGGAGATAGAAATGTCCTACTCTTGCGTTATAATGGATTTCATCCGATCACCTCAAGAAAAGTTTCGTTTAACTGATTTTTTGTTCAATTTAACTAGCCACAATTCCTATTCCTTCACAGTGAATAATAAACTGAATAGAACGAAAGGAGACAGTGGAATCATTAAACGGTAAAGCCCGCCTAATAACCATAATTCGCTCTCAAACACTATAAAACTCTCTCACAAGCTCCACTCAAGCTTTATTATAATCGCCCTATGAATTCACAGAAACTTTCACTATTAGTACCGCTTTCGCGTTACAGAAACCATCGCTCGTAAATCTTGCTATACAACAAATAAAAAAGCAAAAATGGATCGTAGAGCTATGAAACTGAGAGAGAGAGAGAGAGAGAGAGAGAGAGAGAGAGAGAGAGAAAGAGAGAGAGAGAGAGAGATGCATGGCAGTAGTCTGCGGTAGGTCGCGAAAAAGGTGCACGCAGGCAGAAGCCGCAGCAGCGATCGTTATTGTGAGATGCTTTTTCTTCGAGGGGCCTGTCGAACCGAGTGTATGCTACAATTAAAACTCGATGATTATGCCCGCGGCCACTGTGCTTTGTTATATAGCTCTTTTTCTCTTCTAATTCTAAGCTTCAATGCTTAGATATCACTACTCCGACGTTATTTATGTGGCTCGAGATTGTATAGTAACCGCTTACTCGTTTTCATTTTTTTGGGCAGAACGTACATTTCTTCAATTCCATTATACCGTAACTATCCCGCAAAAAAAGTATCTAACGGTACATTTCCCAAATCAATAGATACGTATCTACGTACCCGGTCAGGGGTCAATCAGTACGCGAACAGCATGCATAATGTCCGAAGGGATCGTCGAGGAAGAATTTTTGTTGCTGTTTTATTTTAAAAGCGAGAGAGAGAGAGAGAGAGAGAGAGAGAGAGAAAGCGCGCGCATCATAACCGTCTGCGGAATTTCGCTGTGGGGCGTTCATAATGCGCTCGGCAGCGGCCTACTTAGCGATCGGCTCGATTAACATGCAGGTGATTAATAGTCCCAGGCCCGAGCGAGATCTAATCGCGCGATATTTATTGCCCTTTGCGCTTTCGCTCTTTTTCTCTCTCACTTGCTACCCGACCACGATTCGATTGTATCGCCATTTATTTTTCGGTGATCCTTTTTCATGCTATGCGACATTTGTCTACCACTCGTGCCATCTTTTGCTATACGCGCAACAATACTTGTGAAAAATTTGAGCAATGACCAATCAATTGGAATGAATTTCAAAGACAATTAGCAATAAATCAAAGATCCTGGGACGTATGAAAGTCAGTCGGCAAACATAACTATTGATTCGGCAGTTGAACGACAGGAGTGCCGATCATTTCATTACATACATTCAAATATAACCTTCTATTATATCTTATATGAGCTTATTCAATCAAATATCTGTATGTTTTTAGCAATAGAATAACAAGTCTCTTGAACGTTTTGTGATATTATACAGTGATCTTTAAAGATATAATGGAGAAAAATAAATAATTAAACGAATCTTATCAGCCAGAGCAGACTCGTAGACAACTTATTACCATGATCAAACGAAGCCAGAAAAATAAGTCGCGGTCTCGCAGCAATAAAGAACACATCCTTAAACGTTTAAAACGCAACGCACATTCTCACTTGCACGTCACTGCAAGGATTTGCCAAAAATAAATGTGTTCCTTCTCTCCTTCTTCGTCGTGCGCCGCGCGTATATAGACATACTCACCGTGTATGCGTACGTGTTGCGTCAGTGTAACACTGGCGCCGCATCCGTCTGCTACTACTCCCGCGAGAGCGGGTATCCTTTAAAGGACGCTCTTCTTTTGTGCGTCATAGCACCGTAGAGTTATCATTGTTTCTCTCTCTCTCTCTCTCTCTCTCTCTCTCTCTTTCCCATTCTTCCTGCGATTGACAATTTCGATTCGTCCTTTTCGTTCACTGATTTGATAAACCACGCAAAGCGTCGTCATTGAAAACTCGACACCGTGCCCGTCAACTGGAGCACTTCTAATCCTCTGCGCGCACATACGTGCATTAATAATGCTCTCGCTGTATAGCGCGTGGTTCGCCGCTAATCCGTGTCGAGTATCCAAGTTGCGCAAGCAATTCGTACGTACGCGCGCGCGCAACTTACGTAACACACTCGCAGAACGTATTGGGAAGGAGTCCACTTGCGGGCGTCTTCATCGCCAAGCGCAGCAAGGTGGAGCGTGTGCGCGGTGATTTACGCGCCATCGGGAAGGGAGGAACGAGGGAGAACAATGAGCCGATAATTAAGAAGCCGTGTAATTACCGATTATCGTAGACTAGCTGCCAGCTGTCCGGCTCGTAGCTCGTGTCTGCTGTCGTTGGAATCATTTTGCCGTGCCTCCTAAGCTGGGCTTTTGTATTAACTTGTTTTCGCGAAAATTGTATTGTGCGCACTAGATCTAGTCACACTTTCCGAGAGCATACGCCGTACAGTTACGCGCGAACTTATTCTTCTGCGTCGTTTATCTACCTTCGCCGTTCCTTCTTTATCGCAAGATTTTAATACTCGTGGTTTTTTTCTCCCTTCTATCTCGTGGCCTTCGCTTTCTTCACACTTATAAATTCAGTTGACCGTTCAAAATTACGGTTTTGACATGTGGTGAAAGTATCGTAAATACCATTCAAAAAACAGTTATTTTTTATCGACTAAACTGATGCTGAATATTTTATTTGTACGTATCTATAGTTATAATTGATTTCAAACTTATTAGGTAGTCTAAGTATCATACTAAACATTTATAATGTGTAAACCGACTGTGAAATAATTGTCAACTAATTCGGTCGAGTTATAGATGAAGATTTGCAGCTTTTCTCCGATATAATTATCAACTTACGAATGTACACTGTAGACAGATATATAAATCTAATATTATTTCTGATATGAAGTAAGTCCAACGGAAATGTAAAAGAAGAAACTGCATTAACTGTCAAGACCGCCACGCACAAGGAAGAGAGAGAGTGAGAGAGAGGGAGAGAGAGAGGAGGAGGAGGAGAAGAGAAGTCAAAGTGACGGGGTTGAAAGGCTCTCGAGGACGTTATCAGATTCGCTCGCGGAAAGAAACGTTTAGTTAAAGATGTGTGCTGTCGCGCGCCTCCTTCTCCTCTCTCACTAGGCGCATAAATGAAATCAATTTCACGGCGCCAAAGGCCGTTCGATGGCACTGCTCGATAAGCGTAAGTAAATATCGGAAGAATGTCTACCGACATTCGGCGCTTAATCAATTGATCGACAACTTCGTCTGATAATTCACAGCCTAGTCAGCTATCTGCTTTAAAAGGGAAAAGAAAAAAGCACTCGCTTCACATCTCTTGCAATTAATATAGCTGAGAATGAACTGTCGCTTGGATCCTCTTCTGTTCCCCGTGCGTCTTATCGCTGCGTCTTATCGCGACACGCTTATTAGGAACTTTATTAGGTAGCTGAGGATGAGCCAGTGGTCCGCCAGCTCGGTTTCGCGCGAGCTTTTTTATAATAAGCTCACCAAGGCCTTTTTCTCTTTTTTTTATTTCATTTTTCTTGAATATCAACCGAGAATTCTTCAAGATATCATCTTAGATTTTGACTTCCGAACACTGCCAAAACATTATTAAAATCTCTCATTTTTTCGTATAATAAAATGTTTGAAAATGACGTTGTTACCGGTGAAAAGACAAAAAGAAAATAATAATTTAGAATTTGTCATCGCATGATAA